TCCCTTCCGATGGGATATCCACGAGAGGAAAGATTTTCTGAAGGTATTTTCATGAACACATAGAGCATTTATTTTTATTTCACTATTTTTAAATGATTTTTAATGTTTATTTATTTTATTTTTCAGAGAGAAAAAGCATGCGTGGGGGAGGGGCAGAGAGAGAGGGATAGAGAGATTCTGAAGCAGGGGCTAGAGATAGAGAATCTCCGAAGCAGAGATTTCCGACCAGGGGCTCGAAGTCACAGACCATGAGATCATGACCTGAGCCAAAGTCAGATGCTTAACCAACTGAGCCACCCAGGGACCCCGAGCACTGTTTTTTATCATCAGTCAAAAGCAGCAGGTTCATCTTCTGGTCACCTTTCATCTACAGAAACTGGACGCACATTACATAAGAATCAATCAATAAAAAAGAGGTAAGAGAAAAGAAAGAGTTGAAGGCAGGAAATGTAGTTTCATGATTATTTGGTAAGAAGTAAACAAGACTGCCAACATTAAACCTAACATGGCAGGCTTTGGTTTTGCTAGTCATATCTAGAACGCTGAATTATTAAAGCCTAATAGCAAGATGGTGTTTAAAAAAAAAAAAAGAGGGGCGCCTGGGTGGCACAGTCGGTTGGGCGTCCGGCTTCAGCCAGGTCACGATCTCGCGGTCCGTGAGTTCGAGCCCCGCGTCGGGCTCTGGGCTGACGGCTCAGAGCCTGGAGCCTGTTTCTGATTCTGTGTCTCCCTCTCTCTCTGCCCCTCCCCCGTTCATGCTCTGTCTCTCTCTCTCTGTCCCAAAAATAAATAAACGTTGAAAAAAAATTAAAAAAAAAAAAAAAAGAAAAAAAAGAAAAATTTTTATCTGGAAGAAAGTACTTATCTAGGAGTCAGTAGACCTAGGTTCTATCACTACATCCAGCACAAAAAACGTCAAGTCTCTGGATTCATTTTATTTCCTTTGTAAAATTAAAGAGTTAATAAATAATTTTAAAAGTTTCTTCCAGGGGTGCCTGGGTGGCGCAGTCGGTTAAGCGTCCGACTTCAGCCAGGTCACGATCTCGCGGTCCGTGAGTTCGAGCCCCGCGTCCGGCTCTGGGCTGATGGCTCAGAGCCTGGAGCCTGTTTCCGATTCTGTGTCTCCCTCTCTCTCTCTGCCCCTCGCCCGTTCATGCTCTGTCTCTCTCTGTCCCAAAAATAAATAAACGTTGAAAAAAAAAAATTAAAAAAAAAAAATAAATAAAAGTTTCTTCCAAATCCAAAATTATATAACTCCTTTATTCGAAAAAGAGATTTCAAATTTCACCTTTCACTTTTAACAACTCTGGTTTTATTTAGCAATATATTGTCTTGTTTTTATCGTGTGTACACAAACCAACTATTATCCCACTGATAGTAGGAGGAGGGTTAGGTTTAAAAGAAGCAATTTGTTAGTAGTGTGGTTCCCTGACTTTCTCTCCGGGAGGGAGCACAGTACCAGAGTTAAGAAGGAAGAACTGGAATAGGACTCTCTATGGGCAAATCTCGGAGCCTCCTTCTTCTGTGCAGTCAACGGAGTGACCGCCCTCCTTGGGCTGCTGGGAAATTAAATGAGCCCATACATGTTAAGCGTGATGTCAGGGGCCAGGCATGTGGCATCAGTTATGTTGACCATTATCACACCACCCTTAAGTTCTAAGAAGAAACTTGTTCTCTTTGTTAGTATATAAGAAATTTGCAGCATCTCATACCAAAATTTATCATTAAAAAAGAGTATCTTAAAATTATAAGGTCAATTAAATCGCCATTCAAATATTACTGAATATAATGGGCAAATGAGTCTTTTTCCCTTGTTATTACTACAAATATTAGAATAATAATATTTTTTTTTCCATTCAGATAGCACTTCTATTCCTAAAGACTTTGGTGTATTTTTCCTAAGTGTTTTCTTTAAATATCTTGACTATAGGAAATAATCCCAGTTAAAATGTAATGTGCTTTAGAGGAAATAATCATTATGATGTAGTTTTACAATCTTAAACTTTATTAGGGAAAATTTATATACCCTTTGTCATCTTCAATATTATTTTTAAAAGCATCACATTTTAAGGTAGATTTTACTATTAATTATTATTATTGTCAATAATAATAATAATTATAACCATTAGCCATTGGCAGCTGCTCAGAGAAGCTACTCAATAAGCTTCTTTGAGTTTAGCATTTTCATGCAACATATAATTTTAAACTACTGAAAATAGATTTAAACACTAGTAATTCTATATTTGTTTCCTTAATAGTGTTGTGACGTAATAGATTTCCTTCCTATTTAAGTTGTTTCTTCCAGCTGCACACACTGCAATTATTCAAAACTCTGGAATTCACATTAGACTTAGATACAGACATTCTGGTAAATCTTACTCAAGTTTGGAGTCAAATGTATCAATTAAAATTGTTAATCTTGACATGTTTTATTATGCTTCTTAATTCAGCTTATTTCCTAGCCTAGAGACAAAAGTATATATATTTTCACATTATAACAACATCTTAAAAAGAAAACTATCAATAAAAGAAGTAATAAAATTAATAACTCTAATAAGAATTTAAAAGACCTAATTCCACTAGTGTTACACATCCTAAACATTCTAGAATTGATCGTTTCATCTGAGTACAGAGTATCGATACTCACCAGAAAGGAATCCAAAAGTGCTCAACTGTTTCAAAGGATCATGGTGAAATGACAGTAATATGTGCCTTAGAAAGTTTTCCAAAAATCATTCACCTTCCTCAATCCTATTTAACTTACATTTCTTTCAAATATCTTCCTTTATATTTTTATATAGTACTCTGTGCTGCCTCTATCCAAACTCATATCCACCATATTCTATTTCATTACATTTAAAGAATACAAGTATTTGCTTTGGGGTAAATAAAACTAGGCAATTATCTCATTATTTCATTCACCTCATCAAAAGTAGTCAGAGTTTTTAAAAACTCATAGTAGTAGAACTTGTGACATCATCAGATGTCATCGGGCTCTCAGATCTTGGTGCATGTAAGAACGAGCTGGGAGCTTCCCATCCCACAGAGTTGCAGTCTAGATAGTATGAAAGGCCCTCTCAACGTGCAACAAGTAAATTCTACATCAAAAGCCATTTTTGACACATTGGTGGCCTCTCGGGAATTAAGCTGTGGCAGTCATTATCAGGGGTTACCAGTATCTGATTCTCCTTTCCTTCTTGGGCCTGTGGAAGATCGTATTTCCCAGGTCCCTTGCGGCTGGAGGAATCACATAACTCCCTCCAAAAATATGAGCTGGATGACAAATGTCGCTCTTGAGTTGACAGAATAAATGTTTCATATAAAATTCTCTCTGCTCTCTTTTCCATTTACATCATGAAAGCAGGGGCTTCACGTTGACACAGTAGAACCATAAGAACAAAGTAACCTGGGCTGCCTGAGGACAGGTGCCCTGGTGATACATGTACTGTGTGACCTGCATCAGTCTCTATGTGGGTGAGAGATCAACTTATGCTGTTTCAAAAGACTGAGATTTTTGGAATTGTTTAACACAATGTAGCCTAGCCTATTCTAACTGATTCATAACATAAACTTACAAGGAAGAAAAATACACAGTGAGTTATAAACATGGGTAAAGTGCTGTGTTGCATGGCAGTAAATATTACATATCAACCTAGCCATGATGAAGGGAGGAGAGTTGAAATAAAGGCATGAGGATTTGGCCAGAGACTCAACAAAGGTCCAAAGAAACCCCTATCTTCCAAGAAGAAACAAATATCCTCAACTGAGGTCCCCAGGGTTTCCACACATTAACCGACTAAATATGAATTCTCAATCAAAAATCATAAATCAGGGGTGCCTGGGTGGCACAGTCAGTTAAGCGTTCAACTTCGGCTCAGGTCATGATCTCAGGGTTCATGAGTTCGAGCCCCGCATCGGGCTCTGTGCTGACAGCTCAGAGCCTGGAGCCTGCTTCCGATTCTGTGTCTCCCTCTCTCTCTGCCCCTCCCCCACTCATGCTCTGTCTCTCTCACTCTCTAAAATGAAAAAATGTTTTAAAAAAAAAATTTTTTTAAAGAAACGAAGGGGTCAACCAGGCAATTAAATAAGAAATTAAAAGATATATGGAAACAAATGAAAATGAAAACAAAACAGTCCAAACGCTTTGGGATGTAGCAAAGGCGCTCCTAAGAGGAAAACACGTTGTAATCCAGGCGTATCTCAAGAAACATGAAAAATCCCAAGTACAAAATGTAACAGCACACCTAAAGGAACTAGAAGCAGAACAGCAAAGACAACCCAAACTCAGCAGAAGAAGAGAAATAATAAAGGACAGAGCAGAAAGAAACAATATAGAATCCAAAAAAAAACACAGTAGAACAGATCAATGAAACTAACAGGTGGTTTTTGAAAAAATAAACAAAATTGATAAGCCCCTAGCCAGAATTCTCAAAAAGAAAAGAGAAAGAACCCAAATAATAAAATCATGAATAAAAATGGATTTATCACAACCAGTCTCTCAGAAATACAAGGAATTATCAGAGAATACTACGAAAAATTAGATGCCAACAAACTGGACAACCTGGAAGAAATAGACAAATTCCTAGATACCCACACACCACCAAAACTTAAACAGAACAAAACAGAAAATTTGAACACACCCATAACTAGTGAAGAAATTGAATCAGTTATCAAAAATCTCCCAACAAATAAGAGTCCTAGGTCAGATGGCTTCCCAGGGGAATTCTACCAGACATTTAAAGCAGAGATAATACCTATCCTTCTCAAGCGGTTCCAAAAAATAGAAAGGGAAGGAAAACTTCCAGACTCATTCTATGAAGTCAGCATTACTTTGGTTCCCAAAGCAGACAGAGACCCCACAAAAAAGGAGAATTACAGGCCAATATCCCTGATGAACGTGGATGCAAAAATTCTCAACAAAACACTAGCAAATCGAATTCAACAGCATATAAAAAGAATTACTCACCATGATCAAGTGGGATGCATTCCTGGGCTGCAGGGCTGGTTCAATATTCGCAAATCAATCAATGTGATACATCACTGTAATAAAAGGATAAGAACCATATGATCCTGTCAATAGATGCAGAAAAAGCATTTGACAAAATACAGCATCTTTCTTAATAAAAATCCTCAAGAAAGTCAGGATAGAAGGAACATACTTAAACATCATAAAAGCCATATTATGAAAAGCCCACAGCTAATATCATCCTCAATTGGGAAAAAACTGAGAACTTTCCCCTTGAGATCAGCAACACGACAGGGATGTCCACTCTCACAGCTGTTGTTTAACATAGTGTTGGAAATGCTAGCATCAGCAATCAGACAACAAAATGAAATCAAAGGCATAAAAATTGGCAAAGAAGAAGTCAAACTTTCACTTTTTGCAGATGACATGATACTGTACATGGAAAACCCTAAAGACTCCACCAAAACGCTGTAGAACTGATGCATGAATTAGGCAACGTCGCAGGGTACAAAATCAATGTACAGAAATTGGTTGCATTTCTATACACCAATAATGAAGCAACAGAAAGAGAAATCAAGAAACTGATCCCATTTACAATTGCACCAAGTACCATAAAATACCTAGGAATAAACGTAACCAAAGATATAAAAGATCTGTATGCTGAAAACGATAGAAAACTTATGAACAAAATTGAAGACACAAAGAAACGGAAAAACATTCTATACTACCCAAAGCAATCTACACATTCAATGCAATCCCAATCAAAATTACACCAGCATTCTTCTTAAAGCTAGAACAAACAATCCTATAATTTGTATGGAACCACAAAAGACCCCGAATAGCCAAAGTAATACTGAGGAAGAAAACCAAAGTGGGAGGCATCACAATCTCAGACTTTAGCCTCTACTACAAAGCTGTAATCATCAGGACAGTATGGTATTGGCACAAACACAGACACATAGACCAATGGAATAGAATAGAGAACCCAGAATTGAACCCACAAATGTATGGCCAACTAATCTTTGACAAAGCTGTAAGGAGTATCCAATGGAAAAAAGACAGTCTCTTTAGCAAATGGTGCTGGGAGAACTGGAGAGCAACATGAAGAAGAATGAAACTAGACCACTTTCTTACACCATTCACAAAAATAAACTCAAAATGGATTAAAGACCTAAATGTGGGACAGGAAACCATCAAAACCCTAGAGGAGAAAGCAGGCAACAACCTCTTTGACCTCAGCTGCAGCAACTTCTTACTCAACACGTCTCCGAAGGCAAGGGAAATAAAAGCAAAAATGAACTATTGGGACTTCATCAAGATAAAAACTTCTGCACTGCCAAGTAAACAATCAACAAAACTAAAAGGCAACCGACAGAATGGGAGAAACTATTTGCAAATGACATATCGGATAAAGGGTTAGTATCCAAGATCTATAAAGAACTTACCAAACTCAATGCCCGAAAAACAAATAATCCAGTGAAGAAATGGGCAGAAGACATGAAAAGACACTTTTCCAAAGAAGACATCCAGATGGCCAACAGGTACATGAAACGATGCTCAACGTCACTCATCATCAGGAAAATACAAATCAAAACCACACTGAGATACCACCTCACGCCGATCAGAGTGGCTAAAATGAACAACTCAGGAGACTACAGATGCTGGCGAGGATGTGGAGAAACGGGAACCCTCCTGCACTGTTGGTGGGAATGTGAACTGGTACAGCCACTCTGGAAAACAGTGTGGAGGGTCCTCAAAAAGTTCAAAATAGAACTACCCTATGACCCAGCAATAGCACTGCTAGGAATTTACCCAAGGGATACAGGAGTGCTGATTCATAGGGGCACATGTACCCCAATGTTTATAGCAGCTCTTTCAACAATAGCCAAATTATGGAAAGAGCCTCAATGTCCATCAACTGATGAATGGATAAAGAAGATATGGTTTATATATACAACAGAATACTACTTGGCAACAAGAAAGAATGAAATCATGCCATTTACAGCAACATGGATGGAATTGGAAGGTATTATGCTGAGTGAAATAAGTCAGTCAGAGAAAGACAGATATCATATGTTCTCACTCACTGTGGATCTTGAGAAACTTAATAGAAGACCATGGGGGAAGGGACAGGGAGAAAAATAGTTACAAACAGAGAGGGAGGGAGGCAAACCCTAAGAGACTCTTAAATACAGAGAACAAACTAAGAGTGGATGGGGGGTGGGGGAGAGGGGAGAATGGGTGATGGGCATTGAGGAGGGCACTTGAGATGAGCACTGGGTGTTGTATGTAAGTGATGAATCATGGGAATCTATCCCAAAAAACAAGAGCATACTTTATATGCCGTATGTTAGTCAATTCGAGAATGAATTATATTTTTAAAAATAGTAGGTAGGTAAGTAAGTAAGTAAGTAAGTAAGTAAGTAAGTAAGTAAGTAAATCAATAATGAACCATGATCAAGTGGGATTTATTTAAGGAATTCAAGAATGGTTCAGTATATGAAAACTATCAATGTGATATGCCACAAAAATAGAATGAAATGGGAGGAACCACCTGATCATTTCAATTGCTATAGAAAAAGGATTTGGCAAAATTCAATGCCCCTTCATGATAAAAACATTAAACAAACTAGGAATAGAAGAAAGCTACCTCAACATAAGTAAGGCCACACATGAAAATTCCATGGGAAACATCACACTCAGTAGTAAAAGTTAGGAAGCTTTTCCTCTAAAATTAGGAACAAGGCGAACATGTCTACTTTCACCACTTCTATTACACAGTACTGGAAATACTAGCCAGAGCAATTAGGCAAGAAAAAGAAATAAAAGGTGTCCAAATTGGAAAGGAAGGAGTAAAATTATATGGGTTTCCAGGTGATATCATTTTAATGTAAATCCTGATAAATTAAAAAACTGAGTATTTTTAAGTTCCCCTAGTGTAGTCCGTAAGACTACATTCAATCCCATGGCCCTGGGTTCATGATCTGAGCCAAAATCAAGAGTCAGACGCTCAATGGACTGAGCCACCCAGGTGCCCCTCTTTTCTAAAATAAGCATCTATGTAGACCATAAGACAACACTAGAGGAACTTATAAAAGATATATTCATGAGAAGGAAAATGATCTCAGAAAGGGGGACTGAAATGCAGGAAGAACTGGGCAAATAACTTGCCTAAAATGCAGGAATATCTTCTGAATCAATAGTAATGTTTGATTTGGAAAGATAAGGCTAGAATAAAATGTTGAATAAAAACAAGATAAAAATTGGGACAAAGTGATCAGAGCTAAAGTGTTCCAAGGACCCAAGTTGTCCAAAAGAGGGCTAAAATATTAACTTTAAATGTTGATAAATAAGTATGTATAAGAGTTCAACTATGAAAATTGGAGGTATCATTTCCAACCAGTATTCTTTTTTTTTAATTATCAGTATTTAAAAGGCAAGAAAGAAATAAAAAAACATAGGAAAACATAGTCAAATAGACAGCACCAAATAAGATTATTGAAACAAATTTAAATATGTCTATAATCACAAGAAAACCTGGTGAACTAAACTTGCCAGATAAAAGGCAGGCAAAACCTAGCCATACGCTATTCATAAAAACCAAAACATAGGGGCGCCTGGGTGGCGCAGTCGGTTAAGCGTCCGACTTCAGCCAGGTCACGATCTCGCGGTCCGTGAGTTCGAGCCCCGCGTCCGGCTCTGGGCTGATGGCTCAGAGCCTGGAGCCTGTTTCCGATTCTGTGTTTCCCTCTCTCTCTGCCCCTCCCCCGTTCATGCTCTGTCTCTCTCTGTCCCAAAAATAAATAAACGTTGAAAAAAAAAAATTTAAAAAAAAAAAAAAAACAAAACATAGAGATATGGAAAATTTTAAACTAAATTTTACCTCATTTTTACATATGGAAAAAGACTTCCAGGAAACTAATAAGCAAAAGATAGCTAGAGTAGCTATATTTATTTCAGACAAAAGATATCCTCTGACCACAAGCACTATTAAGGATACATCATTACATGACGATAAAAAGAGTCAGTGCACCAACAAATTACTACAATTCTACAACTTATATGCCTCAAAACTAAAAAACAAACAACTACTGCTTGAACTACAGGAAGTAAGTGACAAATTATTGTCATAAGATGTGTATATTGATTGGAAGAGTTCAACATATTTTTCCCAAACGTGAAATAAGACAAGTAAACAAAAAAGCAATAGCAACTACAGCTTTGAAAGAATTTGAAAACACAACAAATAAGCTTGACTTACTGGACATATCTAGAACAGATCCAATAACTACAGAATGCACATTTTTCTCAAGCACAAAGGGAATATTTACAAAAATTAATGCAAAGCAAGTCTCTACATTTAAAAGAAATAGCACACAAGTCTCACTCTCTAAACACAAGAGAAGACATAAACAAAAAGATAAACAAAAGGCCCTATATTTGAAAATTAAAGCAAAACTTCACAAAATGTGTCAAAGAAGACATCATAGTGGAAAATTTTAAATATTTGTAAATGAATAATAGAAACACCATATTTGAGCAGTGCCTGAATGGCTCAGTTGGTAAAGCATGCAACTTGAGCCCCACATTGGGGGTAGAGTCTACTTAAAATAAATAAATAAATAAGCCACATATGGTGAAATGAAAAAAAAAAAAAAAAAGAGGGGCACCTGGGTGGCTCAGTTGGTTAAGCATCCGACTTGAGCTCAGGTCATGATCTCACAGTTCATGAGTTCGAGCCCTGCATCGGGCTCTGTGCTGACAGCTTGGAGCCTGGAGCCTGCTTCAGATTCTGTCTCTCTGTCTCTCTCTCTCTCTCTCTGCCCCTCCCCTGCTCATGCTGTTTCTCTCTCTCTCTCTCAAAAATAAATAAGCATTAAAAAAAATAAAAATAGAAAACAAAATGAAATTTAAAATTAAAAGAAAAAAGAAACACCACATTCGAAAACTTGTAGGCGTATGGCAAAAGCAGTAATTCATGAATATTTAAAGACTTAGATGCCTAATTTAGAAAAGAGGGGCACCTAGGTGGTTCAGTCATGATCGCAGGGCCATGGGATCGAGCCCCATGTTG